AATTAATTAAAACCGAATTCAATTAATCTAAACCGGGATCCAATTAATTTTAGTCGAAATATATGTGAATTGTGTACAAAAAACCGGTTTGTCCCACGCTAGTAATTTATTATTTTTCAATAACTCTGTCGTCAAAGACTACAATTACTAACATCTGCCACCAAATGAATATAAAAATCGATCGCAAATTTAAATCGGTTAATCAAATCGGTCATAAATATATAAGTCTATTACCCATAAACATATCTATCTCAAAACTCTAACTACTCCGAAAAAAACTGACGATCTTAAAAAAATCGGCTACTTCATTCGGCAGACTTAAAAGATAAATCTGTCGACCATCTTAAATCGGACATCTAAAATCTTCCGTCTTTAAAAGATCTGCCGAGACCAAATAATCTGCCACCAAATAAATGATAGATATAAATTCAACAACAGTTTTGTTTGACAGACTTATATCCCGATAGATTTTATTTCGTTGAATAAATCTACCATCGACGAATTTTAAAAAAAATAACAATGGCAATTTAGTAATATGAAAATATGTTCATAACATGAAACAAGGGTATTTTCGGCCCAATTTTTTTTTTAGTAATTTTAGACTTTTATGGTCTATTCTAGTATTTTCTCAATTAATTTGAGTCATTCGAGTCAACTTCCCTTAAGTTTATACCTGTTATCTTTTTTCTACAACTACGAGTTTCCACTAAATTTTCACCTTCTATTTATTCTTTTAGATTCTGATAAAGAGACATGTCTGAATGTGAAAACTTCAACACAACACACACAATAATAGTTGTGGGAGGTTTGCTTTGGACAACAGGGACGAAGCCTTGAGAAGTTTTTTTTTGAACAGTTTGGAGAGATTAGCCATGCTAATATTGTCTGTGGTAGACAAACAGAACAATCAAAGGGCTATGGATTTGTAGTAAGTAAACCAATAACTATACTATATATATATAGTTTGTCGATTATTTTTTTTTCTAAGGATTACATTCAATCATGAAATTAATTTGAATTGTATTTTTAAGGTCACGTTTAAAGAGGCTGAATCTGCAGCTAGAGCCTGCCTAGAACATGATCCAACGATAGATGGACGAAGAAGAGCCGTTGCAAAGTAGCTTCTCATGGTGCAAACGTTAATCATAAATCATACCTAATTCAACGGTGCAAACGTTAATCATAAATCATACCTAATTCAACATAACTGGTCGTGGTCACGAGTCACGACGATCTTTATTATTTATCCCCAACGTTAATGAAAAATTTGCAATGATACATCAACCGTCACCTACTTATAACCAACCTTACTACTGGTATATTTTTCACACTGTCTATTTTTTTTTTCATATATCTATTCCCTCATGAAACAAGACTATTTTTTCCAGCCATGTCTTTTCTAAGCAAATGTACTTCTTTTGGTTTTGAAATATTCATGAACCAGAATTATCCGCAATATCATGTAGCCTATCATCCACCAAAGCCACAATGTTATGCGCCGTATCACCTACAGTCACAATTTTATACGCAGCATAATCTACAACGCTGTATATAAACTCGCAAAATAATAATCCGGAGTATAGTCCGCGCATGTTCTGTATGATACAGTGTATGAACGTGCGCAGAGAGAGGATCAAGCGGTGACTCAGGCTTCGAATTCAATCTCGCTGCCTTCGACACCAAGATCTTCACTTGAATGATGAGAGCATATGCAATGGTGAGATTGTGAAAAGAATCTTTAGGAATAGAATATGTATTTTTTTTTTTTTGTACTTTTTTGAATAGTTAAGGATTGTTATCAAATTGGTGTGTGCAATGGTGTTTCTCGTTTTGGAGTCCTTAAGAATATAAAATAATTTTTTTTTTTTAAAAAGTGAAATTTAAATTTTTATTTATTATACATGATTCAATAAAAAGATACAACAATTATTAATCTTCATCACTAAATTTGTTCCAAATGTTTTGAATTAAATCATTTTTTAGTCGGTCATGCACTTGTCTATCACGAAGATCATTCCGATTGGGAAACAAATTATTCACATTTGTAGGTATCTCGGTTTCCACCTGTGAACTTCTGGTGATGTCTCCTTCAAATTCAGATATATCGATCCGAGTGTATCCATCCCGTTCATTTTCGACTATCATATTGTGTAGGATGATACATGCTCTCATAATGTTCCCTATCTTTGCTTTTTCCAATGTTTTCACCGGGTTTCTCACAATCGCAAATCGAGCTTGCAATACTCCAAAAGCCCACTCCACATCTTTTCGGACTGATTCTTGAACTTTAGCAAATAACTCTTGTTGAGGGCTTTGAGGGAGGGTGATAGATTGGATAAATGTTGACCATTTTGGGTAAATACCGTCTGTAAGGTAGTACGCCAACTTATACATGTGTCCGTTGACCTTGTACTTTACCCTCGTAGCTCGACCTTCTAAAATGTCATCAAAAACAGGAGATCGATCAAGGACATTAATGTCGTTTAATGTATCTGGAGGACCGAAGAAAGCGTGCCATATCCAAAGATCATGTGAAGCTACAGCCTCTAAGACAATTGTTAGTTTTCCTGATCCTCGTGGGTACTGTCCTTTCCAAGCGGTTGGACAGTTTTCCACTCCATATGCATACAATCAATGCTCCCGATCATCCCAGGAAACCCGCGTTTCTCTCCAATATCGAGTAGTCGTTGAAGATCCTCTGGGGTGGGGCGTCGTAGATACTCATCTCCGAATAACTGTATTATTCTGTCAGTGAATTTATGTAGACATGAAAGTGCAGTGCTCTCACCAAGTCGGAGATATTCGTCGACCGTGTCAGCCGCAGTACCATAAGCAAGCAGACAAATTGCTGCCGTACATTTTTGCAGTCTCACCATCACCGTAGCAAGTCCTATGGATTCCATCGACAGCCTCAGTTTGAGGTGGGAACTGAAACGGCCCTGCCGCATTGTACCTACTATCTGCTTCATCGGCGTACAATCGAGCTTCTTCTTCAAGAAGGGGAGTTATGTCGAACTCGTCAGATGAAAAAGGCTGGGTGTACGAGTAATCTTGTCCCATGCTTGATTAACCTGAAAGAAAATGTGTAAGAATATTAGATAAACCAAACAAAAGTAAGCTTAACAATGCAGTTAACTAACAACAAGCAAAGAACAAACGAGAACAAAAAAGCCGACAAAGAATTATCAAATCAGAGGGATCGAGATTAGAACAAACGACCACAGATTGAACAAAACACACGGATCGAGTTTTGAACAAACGAGAACAAAACATGACCAAAGATTAAGAACAAACGATAAGCTCTCCAAATCGTTTCAATCGAGTGTAACTCGGTTGTATAAACCATAACTACACACGAAAAGATCCCAAAATCAATTCAAAACCCAAATCTTTTGAACCTATCTTCATAAGAAAAATCCTCTAATCGATTGAAAAATCCCTAAATCTTTTCAAACCCTAATCGAGAACCCAACCCTAGTTTCAAAGATAAACAACATCGAACATAATCTAAATCCCAAAAACTCGAAGAGAGGGCTTCGATTTAACTTCCTTCTCGACTCGATCGAATCGACTTTTTTGCCCAGAGCTCTCCTTTTTTTTCTCGGCTCTCGTCGAAAAATGAATGATTTTTTTTCACAACACCAAACCCAAAAGCCGACCAAACGAACCACAAACTGACACGTTGCTAAGGATCAACTCCCATAAATCCTTATTTACGGACTCATCCTTCGCTTATTCATCTAAAATAATATTAATCTAATCTAATCTACCTAGGTTAACACACTAAGGACTCCCGACGTACTCCCGTTGCGTATGGTCTGAGCATGCATGACTACTAATCCCATGTCTGATGAAACATATAGGTTTAAGAATTGCGGAGTTTGGTTATGTATGACCCTTTTATGTGAGTTTTCTTTGTTGCCACTTCTTGATTAATGTGCATGCTTGCTTCAATTAATAACTATATGGAGTTATTTCCGATCAATGTTACCATGAAATTCTTTCAGAATTTTTTGCTTTCTTGAATCTTCTTTGAGCAAAGCAAAAGCAAGTCAAATTAAAAATTGATATTAACAATCTTTTTTAATATTAACTATATACATTTATATACATGATCATAGAGAAGGTTGAGAAACATATATCATGAATCCAGATTTTTTTTTTTTTGTCAACCATGAATCCAAATTAATTGGTTCTGTACTTGATCTTTATGTTTTTTTTTTGCTAAAAATTCATCTTTATGTTATAATGGTTTGACGTTTTTTTTTTCTATCTCAGGATGATTTGTCTTCTCGTTGTTTCTTTGAAATACGTCGATCAATATATATTTTTCTGGATACAATAAGTACGTTCATGTCAATGGAATCTCCCTCATAAAAGGGCGTCCAAGTTCTCTTAAATATCACAAATTGAGATATCAGAGCCGGTCCTCAAGAATCGATGATCCTAATCTATTTATTTTTATCAAAAACATATTAATATTTTTCCATAGTAAATTTACAAAAAGAAAATTAATTATAGTGATATTAATATGATTTTAAAAATAAATAGATTAGGACCATAATCAGTTTAAAAAATAATTATTCATGAAACTGAGTGAACAAAGAAAATTAGTTATATAACTTAGTCATTTTTATGTTAAGGTAACTTAATTTACAAAAAAATAAAATAATAAATATTAGTTTACAAAAAAATAACTGAATTCATAATTTTTTTTTTCAAAATTAAAAAAAAAATATTTTGTTTCTCTAAGTGTTTCACCTTCATGTTCATAGGCCCGGTTCTGCGAGATATAGCAAAGGATATAAGGCGAAAAATGGGTTTGTTTGCCTGCTTCGTTCGCCTATTCACAATATACCTTTTTTTTGTAAACAACACTGACGTACAAATTAAAGAAACTTTCCGATACTTACTTACATAAAAATTTATTATCAACACCTGTCTAAATACAACTGCAAAAAAAAAAAAAAAAAAATAAGAAACTTTCAAACACCAAATTCTTACAATTCAGGTGTTTCATGGATGCATTCAAGCCGTGGTTTCCACTTATTTTCGTTGAAAGATGTGACAAACATTCTTTGATTCACAAAAACCAGCTGCTCAAGTGAAACTTGCTTCTCCAACAAGCGATCCAGCTGTTTCCTAGTTATTAGCACTTTAATTCTCCTTCGTCCTACTCCTGGCACAGACGTCGTCTCGTGGGATACGTATTCATCCTCGTGACATAAATACCCGTTCTTGATGTCTGCGTTAGAATTTTGAAACACGTTACACTCAACATGTTTTATGCACAAACATGCATCGAAGAGAGTCACCAGGATTTGCTTCATGCTCAGTTTATTTTTCATTGTTCTGTATTTTCTTGGACGAAGATCCACTGATTTAGTGAGAAGCTGTGAGCTTCACCTTCTTATAGAAAATATAAACATACAAAGGGTTCGTTTGGATATTAATCTAAAGGCCTTCAATTATTAGAAGTATGGGTTGTGTTTAATTTGGAGTGGATGGCGACAAAGTTGGTGGGAATATAACAGATTCGGATCAATTATATTCATAATGAACAAAAGAAAATTATAGATGAAATCTTGAAGATGTACACGTGTGCATTATGGGTAGGTCTTGCGCGTAAAATCATTAGTTTTGACCGTCTTTTTAATCCAAAACATATGGCTTGTCTAATAGTAGTTTGTGGTACATCATGATGAAACCTATCTAAATATCTATTGTATATATGATTAATGGCGATCACTATAAGTCTATAACCAAATGCGATTGACCTATTTTTATTTTACCTTTTTGGCTTATCTATTTGAGTTTTACACTTCCTCTGTTTTATAATATAAGATACTATGCTTAGAAACACAAATATTAACAAATTTACTTTTCTTTTAAAAGCATCATTAAAAATATAAATTCAAAATAATCCAATCCAATATAAAAAACGATAAAAATGGTTTGACAGTTTGCAATAAAGTTAAAATAACATAGAAATCTCAAAACATGTTATATTCGAAATGCCAAAATCTTATAAGTTACCATTATATATTATAAGCAGAGAAAATACTGAATTATTATATATTTTTGACATCTAAATGTATATATAAATATTAAAGTGGTTGAACATAAACGTCTCTGTTTGTTTCTTTTTATTCAACAATTATATTATATTATTATCTCAAAGAAGAAGAGTTAGTATAAAACTAAATGAAAAGACATAACAATTTAAGATAAAGTTGGAAGATTTACACAATAGGTAGTCACAAAATTTTGAAAAACTTATAGCTAAAAGAATAGCTTTAGTCACCTGGATGGATTCATATTTAAATTAATTATCAATAAACTCAAACCAAATTACGGCCTATAGATCATGTAGCAACTAACAATAGATAGAGTTTTTAGCAAATACTCCTTTACTGAAAAGATATAATCAACAAATCCATAAAAGAAGAAATTAAAATGAACATTAGTAACTCCTATTCTAGTAGTTATCAATCCATCACACACATGTGGTTCCAAAAATCTTTATGGTGTACTTCACAATAATAGAATTGAGAAGTTCACTTGAGATTTTATTATTTTAGATGTTCCATTAGCAATGTCATTGATTGGATTTGGTGACATTGATAAAAAAAAAACTTTGTATAAACTCATATATCAAACATCACATTCTATTATATATATCAAATGATTAACATATTAAAATATTGGAAAATTTTATTGAGGATATTCATATGAATGCTTATGAGAATCCGACCAAACACATTGTTCGTTAAGCATATGTATCTAAAGTGGATAGACATTCGATTATTCCATTAGTTCATTCGGGTTATTTAATTTTTTTCCCTAAACTTTTAAAGTATATCTGTTTGGAAACAAATTTTAGTTGTCTTGTTTGGTTCTATGCATATTTTTCTTTTGTTCAGATTTAGGTCAATTTTGGGCAAAAAGTATCACAAATAATATGTTTAACTGATTTATTTAACATTATATACATATATATAGTAATTTTTTATATATTTAGATAAAAATATAAATGAATGTTGATTAATTTGATTGATTTCATTCAGTTTTATAATGGTTTTGATTCAAATTTGGCAAAGATCATTCAGTAGAAAAATAGATCTATTACATTTATATTGTTGATATAATATGAGTTCAGTTTCAGAAGTTTTAGTGTGAATCAAAACTATACGTAACATGTATTGATCAATGAACAAATGTCATGGTGAAAATTGTAGACACTAAAAACAAAATTTTAAAAATTGAGGTTTTCAGCAATTAGATTTAGTTCTATCCTTACAAACGAAAATTAAGAATTTAATAATTTTGTCACTATCATCTACCAGCAACTATCACTCAAACATGCCAATCACTGTCATAAACATTTTCTAATTACAATTTAGGGAGGCTTTGATCTTGAATGGTCATCTGGTAAGAATTTAGAACTTTTTGTAACTAATTTAGTTATCTCATCCAAGTTTTGGAACATATATAGCTATTCTCTTGCAGTTAATTCATTCATTTCAATGTGAAAAATCTAAAACATAATTATTTTCATCTTTATTAAAACTTAAGATAAATATCTAAAAATAGTAAAATTAAATAAAAGTCCCTGTCTGTGAATTTGAATTTGGTCTTTAATATACTTTTACCATTAGTTTTTATACATTTCTTACATTCTGACACTTAAGTAATTATGGATATATTTTTGGTTACAAACAAAATTTTAAAATTTATTCAATTGAGTTTTCAATTGTTGATATGCTCTATAGTAAGTATTATTTTAGATTTTGGTAGAGTTTGAATTCCAAAATTTCAGTTTAAACTCAAATTTTAGTTCGGACAAAAAGTTTATTTTAAGTTAAATATATCATCAATCAAAAGAACAAATGTCATGGCGAAAATCACATATGATAAACAAATTTTTTAGATGTTGAGGTTTTCAACAATAAATTCTAAATCCGAAAAAGCCGAACACTAGTAATAAATTTAGTAATCAACTACAATAACGGTTACAAAAATTTGTCATAATTGATCAGTTATAAATGAATCATTCGATTTTTATAATCTGATCAAAACACATATCTTGACTATTTTATAAATAAAATTAAATAGAAACCAAAACTATACAAAAGTCTCCATATATAATCTAAACTTAATACATTATAATTATTTATTTTCGCTATATATATATTAGAGCTTCTCCATCCGTGAGATGTAGAAGAGTATATGATCAAATAAAAAATATAAAATGGTAAGAAAGAATAATAGTTGAAGTTCTCAATGAAGTTCTCAAACATATAATCTGAGAATCTGTTAAGAAATTTTTTTGACACATGTTTTTCTTTCATTGGTCAATATCTATTTAATTAAATTTAAATAGACAAAAATTTAAAATTTTAACCTTTTATTATCAAGAACCTCAAATCATCAACACTATCGATGGGCATGCTAACTTTTAAAAGTTATTCAGTTTATTCTTTTAAAATATTTATATGTTTTATAGTAAATAATATACATATAATTGAAACAATATGTTGCTATCTCTCCGTACATGCTTATCCACATAATTATTTTTTGTCTATTTCTTGTTATAAATTGATTTGTATTACAAAAACTTATCAAATTCTCCAATCTCTTCGACGAATCTCCACTAGCTTATTTTCTTTGTGATGTCTCTACCGAACGATAGAGAGACAAAGATATATGTAAATGATATACATATAATTGATATACATATAAATGATATAATTGAAACAATATGTTGCTATCTTTCCATACATGATATACATATAACTGAAACAATATGTTGCTATCTCTTCGTACATGCTTATCCACATAATTATTTTTTGTCTATTTCTTGTTATAAATTGATTTGTATTACAAAAACTTATCAAATTCTCTAATCTCTTCGACGAATCTCCACTAGCTTCTTTTCTTTGCGATGTCTCTACCGAATGATAGAGAGACAAAGATATATGTAAATGATATACATATAATTGATATACATATAAATGATATAATTGAAACAATATGTTGCTATCTTTCCGTACATGATATACATATAATTGAAACAATATGTTGCTATCTCTCCGTACATGCTTATCCACATAATTATTTTTTGTCTATTTCTTGTTATAAATTGATTTGCATTACAAAACTTATCAAATTCTCTAATCTCTTCAATGAATCTCCACTAGCTTCTTTTCTTTGCGATGTCTCTACCGAACGATAGAGAGACAAAGATATATGTAAATGATATACATATAATTGATATACATATAAATGATATAATTGAAAAAATATGTTGCTATCTTTCCGTACATGATATACATATAATTGAAACAATATGTTGTTATCTCTCCGTACATGCTTATCCACATAATTATTTTTTTGTCTATTTCTTGTTATAAATTGATTTGTATTACAAAAACTTATCAAATTATCTAACCTCTTCGACGAATCTCCACTAGCTTCTTTTCTTTGCGATGTCTCTACCGAACGATAGAGAGACAAAGATATATGTAAATGTTATACATATAATTGATATACATATAAATGATATAATTGAAACAATATGTTGCTATCTTTCCGTACATGATATACATATAATTGAAACAATATGTTGCTATCTCTCCGTACATGCTTATCCACATAATTATTTTTTGTCTATTTCTTGTTATAAATTGATTTGTATTACAAAAACTTATCAAATTATCTAATCTCTTCGACGAATCTCCACTAGCTTCTTTTCTTTGCGATGTCTCTACCGAACGATAGAAAGACAAAGATATATTAAATGATATACATATAATTGATATACATATAAATGATATAAATGAAAAAATATGTTGCTATCTTTCCGTACATGATATACATATAATTGAAACAATATGTTACTACCTCTCCGTACATGCTTATCCACATAATTATTTTTTGTCTATTTCTTGTTATAAATTGATTTGTATTACAAAAACTTATCAAATTCTCTAATCTCTTCGACGAATCTCCACTAGCTTCTTTTCTTTGCGATGTCTCTACCGAACGATAGAGAGACAAAGATATATGTAAATGATATACATATAATTGATATACATATAAATGATATAATTGAAACAATATGTTGCTATCTTTCCGTACTTGATATACATATAATTGAAACAATATGTTGCTATCTCTCCGTACATGCTTATCCACATAATTATTTTTTGTCTATTTCTTGTTATAAATTGATTTGCATTACAAAAACTTATCAAATTCTCTAATCTCTTCGACGAATCTCCACTAGCTTCTTTTCTTTGCTATGTCTCTACCGAACGATAGAGAGACAAAGATATATGTAAATGATATACATATAATTGATATACATATAAGTGATATAATTGAAACCATGATATACATATAATTGAAACAATATGTTGCTATCTCTCCGTACATGCTTATCCACATAATTATTTTTTGTCTATTTCTTGTTATAAATTGATTTGTATTACAAAAACTTATCAAATTCTCTAATCTCTTCGACGAATCTCCACTAGTTTCTTTTCTTTGCGATGTCTCTACCGAACGATAGAGAGACAAAGGTATATGTAAATGATATACATATAATTGATATACATATAAATGATATAATTGAAACAATATGTTGCTATCTTTCCGTACATGATATACATATAATTGAAACAATATGTTGCTATCTCTCCTTACATGCTTATCCACATAATAATTTTTGTCTATTTCTTGTTATAAATTGATTTGTATTACAAAAACTTATCAAATTCTCTAATCTTTTCGACGAATCTCCACTAGCTTCTTTTCTTTGCGATGTCTCTACCGAACGATAGAGAGACAAATATATATGTAAATGATATACATATAATTAATATACATATAAATGATATAATTGAAACAATATGTTGCTATCTTTCCGTACATGATATACATATAATTGAAACAATATGTTGCTATCTCTCCGTACATGCTTATCCACATAATTATTTTTTGTCTATTTCTTGTTATAAATTGATTTGTATTACAAAAACTTATCAAATTCTCTAATCTCTTCGACGAATCTCCACTAGCTTCTTTTCTTTGCGATGTCTCTACCGAACGATAGAGAGACAAAGATATATGTGGCAGGCTTGCCTTGGATCACAAAAACTGAAGGTCTTCGGAATTACTTTGAACAATTTGGAGAAATTGTGTATGCTAATGTTGTTTGTGATAGAGCAACTAAACGATCAAAGGGCTTCGGGTTTGTAAGTATCAAACATGAGATAGAATGTAGAGTATTACTGTTAGACATTATTCTTTAATCATGAGTTTGAGTTAATATTCTCTGGTCACGTTTAGAGAAGCAGAATCTACAGAGAGAGCTTGCGAGGATCCAAATCCGACTATAGACGGACGAAAGGCCAGTTGCAAAGTTGCTTATCTTGGTGCTAGGGTTCATAATAACCAATCAAACCGAAACGGTTTAGTCTCAATGTTCTCCAATTCTATTAGTTATCCGAAGTGATGCTTTCTCGTTATAATTTTTGTTCTTGTAACCGCAGGTCAAGCTATTTGTATAGAACCCTACTGGTATTTGCTCATGCTTCATCTGTCAAAATTGTTCCTTTTTACGAATAAATTGATCATTTTTTTTCTAGAAGTTGGCATCATATTGTGTGGGTATGAAACATGAAACTAATATAAGTTTTTGGTTTTTCCATATTCAGGAACCACTATTATTGGCAGTATTATCAGCAGTACTACCAACATTACCATTGGTTTAGTACTTATCCGTTTTAAACGCAATCTCAATCTGAGAAAACAGAGAACTTCTTGTTCTGTTAGTCTCATAGTCAATTTGGTTTAGTTTGTCTGACTTTATATTGGTATAATTTATTTATTATGCATCTGTATAACTGTTTCTCCTCTGTTTCAGTTGAAACATAATATCATTTATGCCATAAAAAGACTAGTTTATGTGCATAAAGAATCTATTCTTGCAAGAACGCTTTCTTTCAGTTGCATTTTATGGATATTCGAGTCTTTATAAATCCATGAATCTCTTTCTCAGCTTCCTCGTATGAGTCGTATCTGTTGAAAAGAACATAAGACTACAAGAGGGGAAAAGGCCTTCAAGAAAGTAGACTAAATATATTGAGAGATTGATATATAGAAAAAAAAACTAAATATATTGAAAAAAGAAAGGTAAATTATTTCAAGAAGCACACGCAATATATGGACCCAACCATCTCAAATCTTTATGCATCAAGCTCGAAAAAGATACAACCACCATGCATTATTGAAGAAAAGTAGGGAAATAATCAGGTGATTTGCTTGGCCAATAGGGAAAACACATTTCAACTATAGATATGCTCTGTTTTTGTTAGTATGCATCAAAAGAGTATAATTATTATATAATTCTAGATAAACAGTTTAATACTATATCTGTACAAGTAGTACAAATGACAAACAGAAAACATCATCAAAACACAGTGAAATAAACTGTAGTGTATATCTATGGTTGATTATTCAACATATCTTATATATCTGTAGAACAACGAGTCCCTTGTATTGAACCTAATGGAGCAGTGGTCATGTTCGGTCCAAAATCCACGAGTGCAACACAATTCACATTAAACCGGTAAGCGCCAGAGACGAATGTCCCGATCTTCCACCGTAGCTTCCCGTCCATCTTCATACCGATGATTACTCTACCGGCTGACCGATCACGAACAATTTGATAACCAAAGGATTGAGCAACAGGAAGCTCAGTCCCTTGGAGAAACGCTGTCAAAAGGTTCACTTCTTCTTGAGATTGATAGAAAGGCGGTAGAGAAGCCTCTGATGTTATTTGCTGTCCTCTATATGCTGCGTATACTAGTAGCTTGTCGTAGTAGATTCCTACTTTTCTGTTAGGGTTCTTGGAGAAGAGAGTGAGCTGGATTGAGGAGTTGAGGACATGTGTGGTGGAGGATGAGAGGTTGAGGGTGTAGATATTGGCTTCCGTGAGAGAGAACTCGGGTTTCGCGGGATGGAGGATGAGCCAGATGAGAAGGATGATGAGGAGAAGGCCGCTGAAGAAAATAGATAACGTGAAGAATAGTTTCTTGCGACGGTTGTTGATGCTAAACCCTCCTTTCTTGGCGCAATGTTTTGGAGAAGTTTCAGATATTTGAGACATTTGGAGAGAGAGGCCTAGAGGATATGAAGAAAGGAGAGGAGGTGAAGGCTTTAAATAAAGAGAGAAGTGATGGTAGAAGAAAGCTATAAGCACTTAAGCAGCAATTATCTTTGTCTTTAGAAAGGCCTTTTTGACTTGAGAGGTTGCTTGTGACTTGGTATGGTGTGAAAATATTATAAATGACTTTTGTTTTCTTGCAGTCTTTTTTGCTTTTCTAATATATTTGCGTGAAGTTTTAGTTGATTGTATTATTAAAAAATACTTGTTAGTTAAGGGAACACCAAATTATCAACGAAGGTAACACACTAACTCACTGTGAGACTTAAACCTGCACACTTTGGGAGAATAGGATTAAATTCCTTGTTTTACTTGTTTTTGGGCGATGTGAATGGTAAAGTTTTGTGAGGTCATCAAAGTTAAGAGACAAAGCGTCATTAAATTCCTTTTTTTTTTCTCTATTATAGACTTACAGTTTACACAATAGTAAAGTGAGTTTAGCTTTTGCTCCACAACCGGTAAAAAGCGCTTTGAAATCTTAAGAGAAAATTGGTTACAACTTCCGCCGCAACATTGTAAACAATAAAACTGAAAATTAATACATAAGAACTTTATATAATATATTCTTATTCACACGAATATACACAAACAGAGCACGAGTTAACAAAAATATAACAGTTTGAATCTTATGGGAGAATAGGATTCACGTTAAGCGGCGTCGGATTTCGTAGCCGTTTTGAAGGCTGAAAATAAAAAAAATTCAGTACTAACGTTTTCCAAATTTTAGTTTTAATGATTTGTAATTTGAGTTTTTTTCGGACATAAACATCGAATTTCCTCTTGTTGGAATAAACCGTTTAACGCTTTCATGCTCGATCGGTTGTAGTATTTGCATGGGACAAGCCATATATTATCTTCTTATTTTAAGTTTATATACTATAAACATATACATGGGCAAGAATCAACACCTCCAAATTGCTTCGTAAACTTTCATCTTATGAATTTTTTTTTTTGAACAAAGGCTTAGCTTATGAAAAAGTTAGTTGAACAAAAAGCAGCTTTTCCACTTTTGTTTAAAATAACTGGATAATATATTGTATTATATAAATTAAAAAAAATACATGAGAGAAATGAATTGAACAGGATCTTTCTTATATATTTAAGTATTTGTTTATTTATTACTTTACTTTTCCTAGACTGATATATTTAATTTTCTTGGTTACTATGTGACGATTGGTAACCAATTTTTTAGTGGATTTTAATGGTATACATCCGTACCATCATTCAAATTAAAACTAGGATATTGTGGTGTGTGAATGGTAAATAAAAAGAGTACAACTGGATAAGAGAGTAGAAAAATTTGTCTACATGTGTTAATGTTATAGAGGACATGACGAACCAATATAAAATCGGTTTTCGAGAGGATAAAGTTTTAATTTGTAGAGAGAAAGAGAAGGAAATAAAAACCGTAGAAGCATCTCAATCATTTTACCGTTCCTTTTATGCTAAGGAAAGATAGAGCAACTCGTATATGCATCCAAATTTCTTTATATGTCATGTCACAGTTAACATTTTCAATAAAGCTTTATATTACTCTCTTAAATACTTTATAAAAGTACCAAAAATACTTTATAAAAACGTAGAATTGTAATATATATCTTCGAGAACTTTGTTGAAAAAAATATCTTGGAGAACTAAGTAGAAGAGACGTATATTCTAAAAGTAGCTATTCTTAGATGAACCATGCAGTTATTGGATTGTCTCTTTCTTGGAGAACTTTGTTCAGAAAAAAAATATCTTGGAGAACTAAGTAGAAGAGACGTATATTTTAAAAGTAGTTGATCTTAGATGAACCATGCAATGCAATTATAGGATTGTCTCTTGTATAATAGACCTATAAATGCGTTTTATCAAATACACGATCAAAGAAATAAAATCAGTATATTGTCAATTCTCAAAGCACAATGAGGGCATGATTAATCCTAGTCTATTAGTTTGAGTTCTTAACTTTGTTTACATTTTTGTTAAGAAATGATTCTTATATTTTCTATTTAAAAGATTGTTTTTAATTGTTTTAATTAAAATCTATAAAAAATTAAGAACTATATCATAGCTGAGGTTAAGAACCCAGTTAAAAGATTGTGTTTAATCGTATGGTCTGACTTCGTGCTCAGATATTGAAAAAGAGAAGTGAATAAATAGTAAGATAATAGTCTTTTTATATTAATTGATTTGTGAACTAGTATATGATTTTTGATTCTTGAATAAACCAAGCTTATAAGAAATGACCCTCTGGGCTTTGGTAGTTTGCGGTCCCTTATAATTTTTCTTCACTTCTTTTGAACCACTTTCTGAAAATTGCTCATCGTAATCATGATGTTCTTGCTTTAGACCTAACTTTTGGCATATTACGGTTAAAATAATCAAACAATGAAGTGGGAAAGAGACTATGCTTTTCCTTTGTTGGGTACTTAAAAGTCACTTTTTGTTGATGTTTTCCACAGATTCAACTTTTTGTATTTTGATTACTAGAACAAATATATGAGAGGAATGCTATATATTTCATATATGGTTGACGATATAGGGAGGTGCAACCTAAACATCCGGACGAGTTGAAACTCTTAGACATGCATGTACATTGTAATGTAAAACTATGAACCAAAGAAAGTCGTAAGCGCATTCAAATTTCACTAAACCATCCCATTTCCACATCTTTGTTTGTCAAGTTATTCAGTTTACACCAAATTTTTTGATAGTTTAGTGATGATAACCAGGGTCGCCCAAACTTATCAGAGGTTCTACATAAATTAAAAATTTTAGGCTATTTTCTTTTAAGGAAAAAAGATCTCAAAAATTTTTGAGCCCTTTTCTTAAAGAAAAAAACCTCACAACAATTCGGACCCTAAGCAATTGATTACTTTACCTCCCCCATGGGCCGAGCATGATGATAACAAAGAGGTTTCTTTGTATTCCGAGTTGGGTTCAAACTGTCTTTAATACATATATGTATTTTTTTTTTTAAACTTGCTACCGTGTTTGAAAGAGAATATTATGCAGGTAACATTAAATCCGTTGACAAAAACTTATGCAGGTAAAACCCAAAATTTTAACTGTTCACACAAAGCGTTATCCAGTTAACAAAAAATTATTTTTAAGAAAAACCATACACTATATCCTATATATATTAATTGAGAAGTATTACAATATGTATTGATACCTATGTGTCATCATAAGAATGCTTCTCAAATTTATTAGAGACAAATGTTGGTTCATATAAATATATAATATATTTTTTAATAAATTAAGCATAAAACTATTATTAATGTTTTTCATTATTTCCTTAAATAAAATTTACGGAATTACCTATTATGGTTATAATATATATTTTACAATTAATGATTTAAATAAAAAAGATTTGAAAAATGTATATAACCTCTAATCTTTTTGTTAAATTTATATTATAAAAATAAATCAAACATTAACATTAACTATATAACAAAAATTATTAGATTTTTTCATATATGTTACATTTTGAATTATTAAAAACGACTACAAATTAATAAAACATTTAAAAGTCTCACATATAACGTTTTTGATTAACAGTTTAGTTTTTTTGTTATAGCACAATACACACAATTATATAATTAATGAGTAAGAAATGTCATTTAATAGATATTCAAATTAGATGTATATATATTTAATGATGTTTAAATTAAACTATATACCATTTAAAAATACATAAATATTTTAATTCCAAAATTGCACTAAACAAGTATTCAGAACTTAATAATTTAATTGCAAAATTTGAATTTAATTTTTTAAAACGATGATGAATTATTGTAAATATTAAATCTCTCACATTATAAATTATGTTAGCAATGGTTAAAATGTTTTGTTATAAAATATACAAATGATCATAAAATCATGTAAATATGCAACTTCATTTATTAGATAGCCAAACTAAAAGTAATATATATATATATATATATATATATATATATATGTTAATATCATTTATTAATTAGATTTACCTATATAAAGTGATTGTAAATAAACAAATATGATTATTTAAGTGCTCGCGCTACATTAATTGTATATATAATAGTTATAGATTTATCAATTATTCAATATATATATATATATATTATTTTATAATATATAAAAGAACATAAAATAAAAAATAACACGTAAAATAATCTCCTATATATTAATCATAGAGCATTATAACATTTTTTGGTAGCTACGTGTCACAATGAAAATGAATTTCAGAACTCTTAGAGAATTATGTTGGTCCAAATAAATATATATTATATTTTTTTATTAAACTAACTATCATATTTGATTAGTACTGTACAAAAGAATATTCTCTATTTTTTTCTTTAAATAAAAGCTACAGAATTACCTAATATGATTAACATATATATCACAATTAATGATTATGAATAATAAAGATTTGATAACAATTTTTATCCTCTTTAATTTTTATTAAATTTTATCTTATTAAACGAAATTAACAATCTCATTAATCATATAAGTAAAAAAATTAGATTTTTTCTTATATTTTTTATTTTGATTTTTTTCAAAACGAATCTAAATTACTAAAAATGGTAAAAATGTCACATTGAAAATTTTGTGATTAATTGTAATGTTTTCTAGTTCAACCAGTCGTTTTTAATAAGTCTTAAACAATTTTTAATGATTAACTAAATGAATCATGTAATGTGTTTTGGTTTAAACAATCATCCCTTTCGATAAAATTTTGTTACAATAAAAAAATATAGGGTTGGGCAAAAAAGACTGAATCCAAATAACTGAACCAAATCGCATCCAAAAAGTAGTACAAATTTTTAACCAAAATTGGTTAGATATCCAAATGGATTTAAAATTTTGGTATTTAGAGAACCGAAACTGAATCGATACCCGAGTGTACTTCAACCAGATTTATATACTTAAATATATTAATTATTTTAAAATTTAACATCTAAGAATATAAAAAATACATG